ATATAAATTCACTAACAAAAACATTAAACATAAATATATAAAATTTAACTATTTACAGAGAGACAGGAATAAAAAGGACCCAGCTTGGAGTGGAAGAGCCTCAGGGAGAAGGAAGAGAAAAATAACAACATTGTTTCTGCCCTGGAGAGCTGCTGCCTCATCAGAAAACTAGGGTCCACGGCAGTGATGAGCTTTTCCTCCATACTGAATGAAGAATGAAGGGCTTTGGATGGATCTGCCCCTTTGACCATTTCCCCTTTGGTCAGAGCCACGTCAGCAGGCTCCTGATTGGTTGTCGTGGCGCGATTTGACGCTTGAGTTCAGATTTTTTCAACTCCAGCAGTAGACGCGAAACGCGCGTTTGCACAAAATGCAACACAAAAACTGACGCGCGTGGTTTTATTCGCGAGCCAAACGCGGCAGACGCGGTACACTGACGCCCGTTTCACGCGTTTTCGCGATGCAATTCTGCTTCCAAATTTTCGCGGGACACGCAATCGCGTGTCATCGCACGTTTTCCATTGACTTTACATGTAAACCTGACGCTCTGGCCACCTCTATCGCGTTCAGTGTGAACACACCGTAAGACTTAAACTACATGGACTTAGAGACAGTTTGATTGTAATCTGGTTACATTTTATGCTGAAACATGACTGAGATTCTGTCATTAAATGATGTCCAACAGCATTTTAAAGGTTTGATAGAGTCTAGAAACATGAAGTTTGACCCTATACATGGCTGACATCATTGCAGTCATTCTGAGTTCCTGTGAGGTTTAAAAATGTGCAGGACCCTGGATTCATCAACATGACGCTGACTCACTTTCATCTTCCTGCTGCGCTGCTCTTTGTTTACCTGTTTCTAATGTGACTCATTTGTTTCAAGGACATTCTTAGAGAGCTGCTTCCTGCTTACAGGTTGCTTCTCCTGTCTCTGTTCACTCTCCTCCCTGGGTCAGTGTTGGTGTCTCTGTGTGTTTAGTCTTTTGCTTACTTCCTGTTTTAGTGTGAAGGTTGGTTTTCTGGAGTTCCTGATTGTAGTTCTACTTCCTCCTATGTGAGCATCCCCACCTGTGTTCAACATCATGCTTTAACATTTGGCGAGAGAGGACGAACGTTTATCGACCAGAGCAAAGAAATTGTTTACGAATCAACAACATGTCTTTGTTTTCCAGAAAACACACAAACTTTAAGATTTCAGGAGCGTTTACTCCAACCTGTGGGTGTAGCTGTAGTTTGGCTGGGGAGGGGCAAGCCCACCCAGCCCCCAGCTGAGCCCCCCCACCAAAGCTGTGCTCCACTCATATGCCTCAGTATAACTCAGACTGATTCACACAGTTTGATCAGGCAGAATCTGAACACCACACGAGTTCCTGCAGTGCCACAGTCAGTGTGTGGTGAGTTTACTGACCTGCTCAGAGAAATGGCACAGCTGCTGTGATCTAAGACACACACACAGGTGTTCCTGTGTAGTGGACACTGCACACTGGGTCATACCTGTGGTTTAAAGTATTTATCCTTCAATCATCTGTGTACGTGTAATACATGTGTAGTACCCGTGCAGTACTTTCTAAAATGTGAGTTTCACAGGTGTTTCTGTGGATTTGAGTTCAGGCCTCTGGACACAGGTATTGTTTTTTTCTGTGGTGTAATAAAATAGCAGATGCACTGCATCATGGGAGCAGTAGTATGAGTGGTGTGGCTCAACACATCTCATTAATAACACATGACCTGATACCACAGAGTCAGAGCAGAAGCATGAACACACACAAAAACAGATTATCCCAGAACAGGTGAGCACAGGTGAGTCAGGCTAGGGCAGGGCAAACAGCCTGCAGACACATGCTAGGCAGGAAGTGGAGGGCTGACAGCCAAAATAAAACAGGAAACACCTGTTGGGTATCTCAGAGATGCCATTCTTCAGGCTTGAGTCCAGGCAGTAGCGACGGTGTGACCTACGACCGCCTTGACTCGGCCATAGGTCACCTGACACGGGCTTCAGGTGTGACCTTTGGCCCAGAGAGCAGCAGAGACCACAAACAGCAGACAGAGTGAAGCCCGAGTCCCCACATGTGTGTTTCACTGTAACAACAATCATATAGTTTTATGATGCACTGTTTATTTTTGTGTGTTTCTACAGTTTTTATCTGTACTTTTATTTTTTTTTATAAAAAACTATTGTTTACTGTTTTATTCAATTTACAGTTAAAGTTCATATTTTACACTCTGCACACTGATCCTAATGATCTTAGTGTATTTTGTAGTGTTTTAATGCATTTAATAGCAGTATTTTAACAAGTATTTCGTAATATTTTAGCGTTTTGTATTTTGTAGTATTTTAATGTGCTTCAGTAGTATTTTCAACTGCTGTATTTTTACAGCGTGTAACTGGAGAGTTTTCAGGAGACGCCCAGTGGAATAGCCCTTCCGTGTATGACGTCATATGTGGTCAAGGTTACAGAGCACAAAAATAAACTAACGGAAGCGGACTTTCAAAATAAAAATGAATAAAACTAAGCGAATCTGTGATTTATTTACCACATTCCTGTATTTTATTATATGAATTCAACTTGCCTGTGTTCACAGCTTCTTCAGACGTCACTAAAGTGTCGTCACTAAAGGTGTCGTTTTATAGGTTTGTTTGCCCTAGAGCTACTGCGTTGCTTTAATTGTGAAACGCCACAGCGGAAGTGCCGTCCTCGCGCTCCCTACCTTGACGCAGCGGGGCTCAGGTCGGTCCGCGAGCTGACGGCAAGAACCGGGATCGAACCTACTCCTGTGACGTCACCATGGCTGCTCAGGTAAGACCATCGCCTGCACGCGTACCTATCTGCGGTGACCTCTGACCCCGCGGCTGGCTCCAATTAGCGCGCTGAACCGAACCGGATTCGGGGAGCAACAGAACGGCGGGGACACACCTGAGACACGGCAGGTGTCAGCAGACAGGTGCAGTGAGCGGCACGAGGAGAGGAGGGGGACACAGGGGAGACACGGGGGAGACAAGGGGGGAGGGAAGAGCCGCAGACACGGCTCGAAAAGCCGTGGGGAGAACTGCCAACATCCAGTTGGGAAAATAGGAACGCACAGGCTGCTGCTGCGCATGTGCGGGAACATCAGCCCACGTTTAAAAGTTGTCGGAGAAGCTCAGAGGAGGGTCAAAAGTCACAGACCTGCTGCTGAGGAGAGATCGATGAGTGTTATTGATCCCTGTGATGATCAGTGAGGCCTGCAGGCGATATATCAGAAACTTTAGATTCTGAGGAACTCAGAGATCGTCAGTGTGAGGAGGTCTCCGTGTTTCTCACACCACAATCCTCTGACACCAGTGGCGGTCCTAGCCTGTTTGGAGCCCCTGGCGAACACTCCCTCTGGCGCCCCCCCACACACACACATATAAAACATATTAAGGATTATACATTACCATAAAACTGTTGTCGAAACAGACTGAATTTTGCCAGAGAAACACACATATGAAGAGAGAGAGAGAGAGTGCATAGTACGCAAACGGCTACCAAACAGCCATCATGATTCGTCATACAATGAGAACAGGACAAATCAACAATTGACAATATTACAATTAATATTCAAATCTGTAACATAATGTATTGTTTGGAGTTTAGTCTGTTACTGTTACTATTTTTACCATTTCTTCTTGGAGCAACTGTAACCCACATTATTTCCTTAGGGATTAATAAAGTATTCTGACTCTGATAGTTTCAGGATGACCTGCCATCATCCAATCACACATCTGCTTACCTTCATCTGTTGATCGTTTCTCCTCTTTTCTATTTTTTCTAAACTGAGCTCCTGATGGCTTTGAACTTTTCTTGTCCATCTTCCATTGGTTTTAATTTTGCACTCCAGTATGAACACAAATCCCCCAAATCGAGGATCACCACAACATAACCTAACAGACCAACACCTTAGTTCACAGATCCACTTTGTCTAAGGTTTATTTCTGGGATTTCACACAACCCAGGATTCAAATCATGAATACATAATGGGCTTGGATTTACATCATTATGAATGACGTGCTCTATTTGGAAGCAGCCGGCCCCCTCCCCTTTCGACGGGTTGTATGTGTGACTTTAAATCATCAAACTGTAAATTATAAATTTGTGTGTGTTTGTGTGTGTGCATGTGTGTGTGCGCTCTCCAGGCTCTGGTTCTGTACAACTTCACAGCGGAGCCAGGAAACAACGAGCTGTCGGTGAGAGAGGGGGAGACCATCACTGTGACAGACCAGGTAAACACAGGTGTTTTCACTGCACACACTGCAAAGGAAACACGACTCCACCCCCTCACGTGTCCCTGTTCTTCAGACTGTGGGTGGAGGCTGGATCCAGGCCCAGAACTCCAGCGGACAAACCGGCCTTGTACCTGAGGGATATTTACAGGTGAGCGCTGTGACATTATTTCATGTCGTGTCAACACAAAGAGGCACAGATCAGCGAATTTCACCTTCATCAGTGTCACACTGCTCCTCTGTCCAACACTTAGCTTTGAGTTTAGTTTTTATTATTATTTGACTGTTTGTTTGAATTCAGCTCCGTTTCAGTGAGATTCCAGAACAGAGGCCAGAAAATCAGTATTTCAGTGAAAACAAGCAGCTGACTCGCAGGCTGATCCAAACATCAATAAATACGTCCATCAGGGCTTCACCGGGCAAACTGCAATCATTTATTTTACCAAACCAACAGAGACTAAAACTGAGGATATTTCATCTTTATTTGATTTCAAGTTCACAAAGGCACAAACACTTCACAGAGATACTGAAAATCACAGCACAGAGTGATAACCCCACCGTGGAGACCATTGGACCACACAGTGTAACCTCTGCAGGGCTCTAGACTAACTCTTTGCCACAGTTGCACTGGTGTGCCTAACTTTTTTTCTTAGGCGCACCAGCACAAAAGTTAGGCGCACCCAAATTTTTCAACCACATCACTGTCCATACAGACAATATTGATTTGTAAATGATTAACTAACAATCTTGTCAACACAAAGTTCTACCAGAAAGATAAGTTACTGAAAAAGTGCTTGAAGTGCTTCGGCACTCTTTGGTAACATTGTAGGCAATGTTAAACCTAATCATCACATCGGCTCCTCTGACGACCTGTTTGCTGCTGCCTGCTGCTGAAAGGCAGAGGGGAGAGGGGACACTTGGGCAGTGCATTTATTGCAGCATATAATGTGTTTTCTGGATACACTGTGTGCTTTTTCAGCGTTCAAAGATTGATGGCTCCATTTCAGAGCACTGGCTATGAATTTCAGACGGATCAGGCCTTAACAAAAAATGTATCAATAGTTCTTTTCATCTTTTCTTATTCAATTCAATTCAATTTTATTTATATGGCTCCAAATCACAACAACAGTCGCCTCAAGGAGCTTTATATTGTACAGTAGATCGCACAATAATAGATACAGAGAAAAACCCAACAATCATATGACCCCCTATGAGCAGCACTTTGGCAACAGTGGGAAGGAAAAACTCCCTTTTAACAGGAAGAAACCTCC